ACATAAATTACACAAGTAGAAGAAAGAAATGCTAAAAAACAGAGCAGATATAATAGCAGCCAACAAGGAAAAGGTTTGGGAATAATTCTGCATTGATGAATACAAACAAGCAGCTGCATGCAACAGATCATTTATTGATTTTTTTTTTTTTTTTTTTTTTTTTTAAGTGCTAGACTTAAACCCTGCTCTATGTGATATAGACATATGTAAAATAAAATATTAGAGACATTTCACTTTTTTTTGAATATTCTAATATAATTTGATGTAATTATTCAAGGTTTTTAGAATGCCCTCTCACAGAACGCTCCACACGTCAGACCTTTATCAAATTATGCAGATACTATAAAAATCACTTCCTAGTACAAGTTGCAAACATGCTGACATTTTCCAGGAAAATGAGAAAATGGCCACACATCAGTGTTCAGTGTTGACACAGTGTCACCACTGAACATAATGCTTTACAAAGAGAGCATTTATTGCAGGGTTATTGAATTGCATAACAATTTACAGATGTTGCTTTCATGGTGTTGACTGAAGTCTGGCCAAAAATGTCAAACTCCCACTAGACAACCCAATTTTTAAAATCTTGCTGAATCTGCCTTGATATACAAAATAAACACTTAGTTCATTTATGTGTAAGCCAAACTCATGTTTTGACGTCTACCTCTCACCTGCAAACTGATGATGTCTGCGTTGCAGCCCAGGATCTCCTGCATGATGGATTTCTTCCTGTATTCCCAGTTTAGAGCCCAAGAGGGACAGTAACCATATAGCTGTCGTGTGGCGTACTTATCACACAGCACATTGTAGCACATCACAGAGAACAGTGCTGAGGGGAGAAAGACAAAAGGGCATCTCTTAGAAACACTAAAGAAGCTGATGATTTTTCGTTTCCTCGCATTTTTTATCTTTAAAAAAAATAAAGAAAAAAGAAAAGGTGCAATATGAACAGTTTCACATTTGTTTAATTGAATTATCAAAATACAATCTAGCTCTGTGCTTTCTACTTTTTCTAGTCTACACATGGAAAACTTTAATTATATGTAATGTTTTTTAAAACAAGCTAAATGCTATAACATTTGGAATTCTGGGCACTGAGTAGTGTGTTCCCTAAAAAAGAATTTGGGCAACACATCCAAATCGATTTGCAATCATCCAAAAGGATTGTTTTAAACATTCCAACAGGGTCAAATTATACAAATCCACCCATGGGAAATACTGGTATACTGAAAATATTTACATGAGATTTTTTGCTCCATTTGCTAAATTTTAGTTAGTTCTGCTTAGATTCAACAACAGGAACTGTGCATATACTACAATGCACATGTTGAAACGTATTGGATCTTAAACTTATGTAAGCAGCCTTTTTCTGTCTGTTGAGCAGATAAATGTGGCTGACAGTCAATTTTTATGGATTCAAGCTGGATCCATAATTACGGAACAGCTGTGTATTTCAAAAAAGAATGCTAAGAGTATGTGCATCTGTTCAAAGTCATGTTTCGTGCATGTTGTCCTTACCTGAGGCCCGTGATCGGTCTGGTTCCTGGAGTGAGATCCATGACCGGGCTGGGGGTTGCTCTGTTGGTACTGAGCCGAGGGGAAAAAGGGGTTCCATATGGGTGACAAGATGAACACAGATGTCACATAATGACTTTAAGAAAGTTAAGGGCAAATAAACTATTGGGTTCACAATGCCCTCAAATACAAATACTGATGAACCTGTCTTTTGAGGAGATAAAAACAATTGGATATATGCAATTCTTGTTCCAGTCTCAAAAATGCTAGACAGAAAAGAAACTCACTGCGCTTGATAGCCCCTGCCAGATTGTCTAACAAGTAGTTGAGCAGTCTCCGCGTGCCATCAGGTTCCTGGTAGAGGCTCATAATTTCTTGTGCAAGTGGGTTTCCTGGTGAAGGAAAAGCAAACTGGGCTGAATCATCTCTAAGAGAATAATGGGATTTCAAGGCTAGAATGGCTACAAAAACCACTGACAAGCCACTCACCTTTCAACCCCAGTGTTTGTAACTGAAACAGTTTCCCCAATTCAAATGGCAGAACCCGCAACTGGTTGTTATTTAAAAGCAGTTCCCTGTGGAGGACATAGTGGAATTTGATCATTAGAAACCAGCCCTCCTGAGGAACAACCACCCTTGTTACATTTCAGAAAAATTATTTACCACATTGCTGATATTAAGAATGTCTATGGCATACTTGCCAACTTTAGATTGATTGCTAATGTGGACTTTTAACATTGAATCTAAATATTCCAATAAACGTGGGAAATAATAGAAACACAGGAAAAATCCGAGTGAATCAACTGAAAACATCATCAACCCTCTGACAGCTGGAGGTTCACACTGTGCCTGAATTATGGGGTAAATGTGCTGCCTGAAATCTCTCACCTGAGAGACACCATGTTGCCGAGCTCTGCCGGCAGGCTCCTGATCTTATTGGATGAGAGATCCAGGTACACCAGGTTGTGTAATTTGGCAATGTCTGGCGGGATGCGTGACAAAGAGTTGTCACTGAGGTGCAGGGCAGTGAGGTGGGTGAGAGACCACAGGGCTGTGCTGAGACTCCTTACTCGGCCTACAGCAACAGTGGGAAAAGGACACACAAACACAGAGCATAATTAAATCATGAATGGGTCAATATGGGTTTATCAATATCACAATAATAAAGAAGATGCTTGAACATAATTTCCCAAAACACCCAAAGATTTAAGAGAATGACAATATCATTTAAAGTTAGAAATTGTTAATGTTGGGTATACCCGCTTGGGTATAAGACAAATTTACAGTGACCTATTTTAACCATGCAAAACCCAGTGTGGGACAAGAACTGAAATGATTAGTCAATTAATCAATTCATCAGTCCACAGAGAATTAAATGGCTTTAAGTTTGATAGTGAATAATACATAAAAGTTATTTTTGAGGGTAAAATACCCAAGATTCACAGGTTGCAGCTCATTTTTTGCTTCAAATGTGAGTAAATGCCAGTTGCCTTGATGATAATAAATTGAATATATTTTGTTTTGGACTGTTGTGCAAACAAAACAAGAAATCTGAAGATGTCACCTTGGGCTCTGGAAAACTAATGGACATTTAACACAATATTCTGTTATCTTTGTAGACAAAACAGATGCCAGACAAATGGCAGGTTAATTCATAAAATAATCCCCTGATGCAGCTCTGTATGGAACTGACGTGAGCAGTATCACAGTAGTGGACCCAACTCTCATTTGAACAGTTAAGATCCAATAATTACCTGAGCCCAATAATGTGAGTAGATGTACAAAGAAAGATGACATTTAAAATCAGCACAACTGTCCAATAAAATCAACCTCTATGCCAATGTCAAACAATGTGTGTAGACAGTGCAAACTCGACACACCTACTTTACCTAAATAAGTACAAACTCCCAGATAATACTCACCGCTAATTTCCAGCTCAGCCCAGTATGACTTCTTCCCGTTGGCTGCCTCCTCGCTGGACATAATTGTGTACATCCGCCTGGGATCCGGCGGGTCATATTTTTCCTTGGGCATTCCTATAACACTACAATGACAATTTGGATTTTAAATGTCATTATTGAACAGAGTAAAAGCTATTCTGATGTGTCATCAATTAAAGAGTTTTATCTTGAAACTTAAGATGGAATAACTTTACTGTAATTTAGGTTACAGGTGATCTATGTAGCTCTTCAGGCAGTCACATTTACATTGATAACTTTAATATGCCACCACAGGATGGCAAGGTATGAAACGTAACACTTTACAATAAAAAAAGAACAAGCTTTTGGTCAAGATATGATTAAAGTAATACGTTGCCATTTATATAGCTAGATGCTGTTTATCATGCAGTATAATTAGTTAACATTTAAACAACTTCCGCTGAAGACCGTGGTTTACTTGAAGTTACATAATAAACAACATTAAAACAAGCAACGTAGTGCAACGTTTTTCATGCTGAACTTGGTCAACTAGGCTGTAAACAACTGTATGAAACTTTAATTCAATTCGCGAAAGAGCTGAAAATGAAACATTTTAAAAAATTGTAAAAACAGCTAGCTAAGGTTAGCCGATTTTTCCTCTCATTGTTGCTAGCTGATTAGCCTAGCTGAACCTAAATAGGTAGCTATCAAAGTATACATAACAAACGCTAAATGGCTAACGCTAGCTCGCTTGCTAACTAGCAAGGGGGAAACGGACGAGCCAAGAAAGTGAAATTGACCAATAAACTGACTTTAACGCCCTGTCCAGTTGGTTCAGCGGAAAAAATTCAAAATGATATTAAAAGATACAGTACAATTCTTGTTTACATAATAGCAAGGCACTGACTCGCGCGTTAACACTAGGCCACGACACGGCGCATTAGTTAGCTGCCGCTAGCTAGCCTCCAACAGCAAAAATCACTATCGTTGAGATAAACAGAGAGTAAACGAGCTCAAAGCTACACAATGCTGGGTCTGCAAGCAACTGCGAGCTATTTAGCTTAGCTCGAGTTAGCCTGCTAGCTAAAACCTAACAGATACCAATTACTCGAAACTGACCGACTTCCTATTCAAATAAGCCCTTCTTCAAAAAATAGTCACGGCGCTTTTAACATCTAAATAAGATTGGGGTGAAATTGGTGAAAAATAGTTCAGGTCTTTAAGGAAGGATTGGATTTTTACCTGCAAGAGCATACCAAATCGCGAGGACGACTGCGTGTTCTCTTTTGTTTTCTAGCTACTTCTCACCCGTTTCCGCTGCTGTATCATGGCGACTGTAAGGATTTTTTTTTCTCTGCCGATAACAGCGCTTGATTCTATTGGTCAGCGTGTAGACGGTCCAACCAGCTGTTGAACCACAGTAAATAAGATCCTTGATTGCTGAGTGATGGACCAAGAGATGGATGGTAAGGACACCACAGTTCAATTTAGTGTGGTTTATGTAGAAATTATGCATAGTCAGCAGAAAGAGCAGTTTATCAATAGCCATAGTCTGTAGAACCAGTGATGTAACGATTTAATCTGTATGGACATCCAAGGAAATTTTTGCTTAATGACAAATTCATATATCTCTTTGTTGGCAACAACATAAAAAATAATATAATCAAGAAAAAACAATCTTATTGTATTTTCACTTAATATAACCAATCAAAACACACTGCCTTTATTTAAATACAAAACCTGTGCAAGGGAACCAGTACAAAAATATAAATATTAAATTAATTCAGTGCTTTATGTCTTCCAAGAAAATAAGCACTACAAAGAGCTTTTATTTCAACACTGACAGACATCTAGCAGGTGATCCTGTAGATAAGTGAGGGACTCTTCCACATGCAGAGGTAATGCTTGGCCAAGGTCAGCCTGGGATCTGGACAGGAAGGCCTCCACAGCTTCACGAATGGCAGCCTTGGATACCTTATCATCCGGCTTGTAGACCAGCGTGCCAACTCTGCCTCTTTGTTCAGTGACTGAGCTGCACAGATAGCCTGGGGATAACAGATGAAAGAAGTTAGGAGTGAACAAAGTGGGGTCAAAATAATTGTACTTATCGTTGAAATGTTTGAATATTCAGGGTGCAGATACATTTGGTATCAAAAAGTAAAAAAAAAAAAAAAAACCCAAGTCTTGGAGGAATTCTCCAGCGGGGATAATATCTATTGAAATCCGTGTTTAAATCCTGAAGACTGTCAAAAAGTATCTTAATAAAAGGTAACTATGAGTCAAAACAATCAACACATAAAAACAAAAGGACCAAGCACAGAAATGTAAAATATATGTTTTAACCACTGTCATATTTTGCATGACTCAACTTGGCATATGAAGAAATAAAGAAAATGCTTTATTTAAATAAACCTACAAGTTACCTGTCGGGAAATGAGTGATCAGAGACTGAGAGACAGGGAAATGGTAAATAGAGGAAAGGGAAAGATATTTGACCAGGTAATTTGGATCAGTCTTCCCATATGGCATCACACCACATATTGCACATTCACTGGAGTCTGAGGTTTCCCACAGGCTCCAGGCTCTGTCTGCTTCCTGGCAGCAGGACACTGGCAAGCTTATCGAAAGATGTTGGTTTTTGCTTCTAATAAGATATCCCAACTCACATTTTTCAAACTTTGCTGGGTAACAAGGAGCCGGATCCTGTTGTATATAACAATAATTTTTTTTGTCATTTTAAACCAAACCTTCACCATCATCCCCCGCATTTATAGGATTTATGAGATCGTTGAACAGTGTACTAGTATTTGTAGAAATGGGGAACCACATGTCATCACAGTTTACAAAAATCTCACCTTTCATCGCTTTGTTGTAGCTGAGTAGCAGCATCCAGAGAAGATGGACCAACTCTTCCCACCTCTGCCATCTTTCAGTACCATCCTGGATAATACAGTCATGGATTTGCTGCATTAAATGGTTGCTTGTTGTGGCTAACTTCTAATTGTCAGATTTCACAATAATAAATCGTGGAATAATCATAAAAGTATTCTAAATTCTTAATTGGAAGATGAATAGTAGTTGTTACATTCTCTAGAATTTAATTCACAATGCCAAAATCAAAGTCAGATATTTAAATATTACAAAAGGTTGGCTGATAGGGCAAAGATGAAAACAAAATACGAAAAATCCTTTACACCAAGTCTAATATTCACCGTAGGGTCTGGTGCCAGAGTGCAGTTCTTCATAAAGTGAAGTAGCAGACTAAGCGACATGGGCAGAGAGATTTTCAGTGGGCACGCATAGTCCAGCAGATGTTCTAACAGCTTACATCTCAGCAGCTTGCTCTGCAGGCTCTCCAGCAACAACATCCTGAGAGTCAGAAAGAGATTAGTAAATGGTAGCTGGGGACAAGAGGCAAATTGTGTCGTTGGAATAATCATTCAGGGGTGTATGATTTGCAATTGAAAGAATGTATGAAGTTATTAACATAGGGACATATGACATTTTATCATATTAAATGAATGAAATCCAGGATAGTTATCCTGTTTAAACTGGATAACTATTCTGTTTAAATGATAAAATTGTGGAATTTAAATAATTTGTAAAATTATCTTTAAAAAAAAAGGGGTTTTAAGTTTTCTTTGTTACTTCATCTGTTTGTCTTGCCATAACATACAGTCTAACATTTATTCTTCTCCTACTTTAATGTTCACATTTTGTTTCATACACACATTAACGAAAGCTCCTCTTAAATATAAAAGCACCAATACATTCAAAAACTTAAATTTAAGGAGGCCCAGCCCACAAGAGTTCTCATTAGCAAGCCATTGCTTTCACTTTTTTGAGCTACAGTAGGAAAACCCTCTTTCTTGAGCTGAGCTCCTGTTATGTGTTCTGTGCATGTCTTTAAGTTCAATGAAAGTCTCTGGATAAAACAAAACATTTTTAAAAAGGAGAACGTAAATTGTGAGATAGATATGATAAAAAGACGGCAGTAAATGGAATTTAAAAAGTAGCCCATGAAAGGAAGTCATTTTGTGAATCCTCTCATTATTTATTCATTACTTGAAGAGCAAATAAAGAAATTGAATGAATTATTTACACATCATATTTTAAAGCTTATTTCACAAATACTTTATATTGTATTATTTGAACGCAAATCGAATCACCTTATAACTTGTTTGCTAAGTGGACAAATTAAATAAGCAATTATATTCAACATCGGGAAAGGGCTATAACTATTCCAGATACACACCTCAGCTTCCACAGGAAAAGGCAAGCCTGTCAAGTCTATTGATTAAGTGTATAAAAGAAAATATAAGCACTTCAACTTTCCCATAATGGTGAATACAAAAACCTGACAAACTTGCTTTCTCATCTCTCCTCCTCACCTGTGTGCTCGCAAAGGCACATTGCTGATGACCATATGGAAGAGCTCCTGGGACAGCTTGACAGAGGTGAGAGCTGGAGAACGGTCCACCTCCAGAGCCAAAGACAGCATCCTCTGGAAGATGGACACTATTCTGCAGGACAGAAAGGGCCCAAAACAGGGTTTGTCAGCTTGAACGTAAAAAGGACTGGCAAATAACAACATCAATCGTACAAAATGCAGGTAAACATGAGTGAGGATAAATACAGTAGGGTCCAAAAGTCTGACATCACTAGTCAAGATACTCCTGCTTTGCATGTTTCAACTGTAGAACTGTGTTTTACAAATGATAATATCAGCTTCACAATTTGAGTGAAAAGTTGAATCTTTGAAAAATGTATGCGTCACATAGCTCTGATGCCATTATTCCACGATCACGACCTAATTAGTAAGCAATGATTTGCTGGGAACTTGTTTATAACAGGTGAACACTGGCAGCAATTTGAATTACTTGAACAAGCCTCTGATGAGTAGATCAAAATGGTCTGAATATCACCTGAACGCAACAACTCAAGGAAATCTCACCTTTTGTACAAAGGAGTGAAGTTGGTCAATGCCCCAAATTTGCTTAAACCTAGTAATAGTGCAGAATCTAAATATTTCTTCTTCATTTTACATATTACATGATATAACTTGTGTTTTTAAATGCATCTGAATCAAAAAACTTTCTGATTATTTCCAAGTTTTTGTTAAAATATAAAAGAATTTCAATGTGGTCTAAAATTTTTGGACCCCACAGTACATACATCAGTAATTCACCTGCTTTGTTCATCTCTCTCTCTGGTTGTTTCTCTACACTCTCCATGCTCTGTCGATTTCATGATGGCAGAAAAAAGCCACTTGATGATATCTCTGGAAACAAACCAGAAAAAAAAAACATCACCAGTATTACTTTCACAAGTGAGAAATATCAATAAAAATTTGTACTAATTGTCAGGCATGAAGTATAAAGTGATAACCCCGGCATAGGGTGATTTGTAATAGTTTAATTGTATACACCCTGCTGTGGCCTATATCATGAATTGGGTTACAATTTTGGAGTGTCTGTGCAAGTTATCTAGCTTCAGGACATCTAATGCTAGCAATCTGAAATAACTCACAAACCTGGGGGGTATTCCAGAACGGGGTTTAGTGAAAAAAATCAGAGCTCAATTGATGATGACTTTCTATATTCCACATTTTCACTCAGAGTGAACATACTCAGTTGATTGAACTCAGATCAGATCAGATCAGATCAGCTGATCTTGAACCAAAAACTCAGAATTTCCCATCTCGGGTTCATCAACACAGAGTTCAGGGTTAGGCTCAGTTTTCTCAACCTGCTTTCTGGAAGGTTGGGTTTTTGGAAAACATCCAATAAAAGAGAAAATACAAATTACGTCATTGCAGTGGCAAAAAGCAAAGGAAAAAGGTAGGTTACTGTATAAAAAGCAGTGTGTATGAATGACAATAATTCATGTGGGCAGGTTAGATGTTTGATGTTGTTCCCAGAGGTAAACTTGCTCAGAGGTATTTCTAGCATTTTGTCCACCCCCCCTCCCCATATATAAATTAGGGTAAACTAAAAATTAGGAACACTTCTAAGTATAACATACTGTAGTATAAGTCAATAACTTCACAAAACCGAAAGTTTGAAAAAAGGAGCTGAACGCTGTAAGTGTCTGTATTACTGTATTTCAAAGCAGCATTAGTTTTCGCTAGGTGTACCTAATGTACATGCAAATGAGTTTATTCTATCACAGTAATGTGCAATGGAACTGAAAAGCTGAGGTTAACTACAAAGTTCTCCCCTGGTTACAAAACTCACCTGACTTGAGGGAAATGCTGATCACATGACAGTGTGGCCTTGGCGATCGAGTGGTGGAGGGCAGAAGTAGAACGTTTGGCCTGGAAGTCGTCCTCCAATGTCTGCACAACATACTCCAGGAGCATGCGCACAACCTCACATCGACGTCTATTTGTACTGTCCTGAGGAAGCAGGGGGGGCCACATATAGGGACATGTTAGTTTACTGAAATCACAAAAAAAAGATGTTCAACTATAATTATGTCTGCATATTAGAGCAGAGTCCCAGTGACAAAAACATATCAAAATATTTTTCACCAATATCACAATATTAATAATGTAACACCATATTAGAGATGACTTTGTTGCTCTCAAAAGACATCGACATGCAAGAAGAGTGCAGTGCTGATATAAAAATCAAGTCGGCACATTTGCTATTAATGTTCCTCAGATGAAGCAGTTCAATGAACTCTTATCATCTACTCTAACTGTAATTCAGCTTCTGAGACCAGAACAGTTAACATTAACATTTAAGCTATTCAATATGGTTGTATTCAACAATAATTGTACTGTATTCTGATATATCACTCAGCTTTACTGTATATTATCTACTGTATATTCTCATATTTTGCTGCATGGAGTAGCACCTGATTGGCCACGACTGAGGTCAACAACTCCCAGTCCCATGGTACTGTGGTTTTATCAGCCATGTGGTGTCTGCAATCAGAAAGAAGCTTTAATCTCTGAATTCAAAGATGTAGTGGGGAGAGAGAAGATGGAAGAGAAGATATAAAGGGCAGATGATATATTTATATCAGAAAGGCTACAAATAATACATTACTATTGAGTCTGATTCCTACGCTCCCTCACCTCTGTGTCCTCATCAGCAGATTAAAGGCCTGTACACATAGGTGATGGGGACACTGTGGGTCCAGCAGAATGTTGTGGAGTAGATGGGTAGTGATATCTCTGGGGGGATAGTAACCAGGCTGTAGTAGGTCAGACAAGAGCTGCAAAGTACCCTCTGGGTAGTTCTCATCAATCGTACTGTAAACCAGACTCAGGCTCTGACGGCATAGCACCTCTGGAGTTCCAAAACCTTCATCTTCGACATCAATCTTGGAAAAAGCATAAAAAAGAAAAGAGAAACTGTACATTCAGCCTAGAATATAATAATGTGTAATGAGTTAATGAGAGAAAACAGAAAAACAGAAAAATACAAAGATGTGGAGAATTGTCTCTCACCAAGGCTTGACCTGGTCCAGACATTATTTTCTTGAGTGTAACTGGGCACACAGTATGTCTGTCTTCTCGACTAGCTGCCCTGAAGTCCATATCAAATCTGCTCTCTTCATTCACTTCTTCTATATCACTCCCCTCTTGCCAGAGGAAAGACAGTGGACTATCAATTCCTGCATCCCCTCTATATGTCCCAGCACCAGATCCTTCATCCATATCCTCAGTTTTAGACACTGACAAAGCAGGTTCACAGCACAAGTCTGCACTGTCTGAGGCCCTTTCAGCCTTAGCCTCATCCGATTGCCATTCAGGCCTGTTTTCAGCAGGCGTATGTTCAGATGTGGGTGTTGTATCGACTTGGCTCTTCAGATCATAAAATGCAGGACTTCTGTGTGGCAGAGAGTCATGATCAAAAAGCTCAGAAGGCTTCAGTCTGGTAGTGGGAGAGGGAGGGGATGAGTGATCAGAGCAGTCATGTAACTGTGTGCTTGTAAATTCATTACTGTTCTCCTGTTGTTCCTGTCCAATAAGCAATTCAGCCACCTTAGGAGGAGACTTGTCCAGTGAAGTTTTCATGAAAGGACCATTTGATTCTGTAGTTGTCCTCAAATTAGTAATGCAATCTGGTGAATTGCTGTTCATGCTGAGTTCTCTAAAGCACTCTTTGGTTAAATACACAGAACAATTTGATGTTTTCAGGTCCTTTACACATGTCTCAAGAAAAGGCAGTCGTCTCAGTTTTACAGCTGGTGTGTTAGGAGAGGGATGTACTTCATAGTTCTGCTTTTGGTGTTGTGTTTGAGAATTCAAACATCTCATATTACCACAGTCCTGCTGTGGAGCACGAACAGTTGAGTTTCTCAAAGAGCTTGTCTGTAAATTAAAATCTTCTTTTTTTGAAGTTTGATTGTTATTTGAACTTTCTTTTTTTATTTCACAGTCATCTGGTTGCAAATTCTCTGTCTCCTGTTCTGTCCTATTTGCTATGTTGCTTTCAGTCAAGTCTGTCACTGACAAGGGAGTGGAGTTTTGTCTTTTGCGCATTTTAAGCTCTGGAAGAGTCCATCTTGGATCTGTGAGGTCAATAAAACACTAGAAAATGGAAAAAAAAAACAAAAAACAGAAAAATATGTCAGAAAATACTGTGGTTGCTTACATAATCACATAGATGAATAATAAAGCTTCTGCTTCCCTTTATTCAAACAGATAATCAAGTGGGAAACTCAGTCCAAAACAGTATAAACACATTTCTCCTCGCATACACAAAAATAATATAATTATTTTGTTTGTCAAACCCATAAGAATATAAAAAGCCAGTTTCAGCATTGTCTTTAAATGGGCAATGGCACACACGAAAGCCATTTTTTCGATGCAAATTAACTGTGTGATATTCATATCTCCCAAGGAAAGGAAAGAACTAAAAGTCTATTTAGCTTTTTTGTCTTAGCAACTGAGGTTAAAGAATATCAATTTTAAGTTTTATATCTCTGGGTGCACTAGTGGACAATGTTAAAGTTTCTGAATAGATTTTCTAGAGAATAGTACTCTATTAAATTGTACAAATCAATATCGCTATATCCAAGAAAAGTTGAATCGATGGCAGCTGGACTTCGTTGTAGATACTTGAAGACGTTTCAAGGCCATTGATGTCACTCGTTTGTTACTGCTCCGTTGGAGTCACCTGAGGCCAAGTGTGCATGGTTGCTAAATCTCCTTGGAAGGAATGAAAGGCTGACACTATAGGTGAGGAATAAGAGGCATCACAGACCGTCCCCTATGTATCGCGATATAAATGATACGATACTATGATATTCAGACAGAAGAATTTATCCATATTAACTTTAACTTACCCACTCCCAGTTGGCAACTAGGTTATTTTTTACATTTAGTATCTCAAAGTTATTTTGATATACAATACACCATAATAATTAATGGACACGTTGTTGAAAACATTGTTAACACATTGATTTATGCTAGCCAGGTAGCTAGCTTTCAGACAGTAGATTGATTTTAAGGTTAAAATGCTTGTGGAAACAGATACAGTGTCAAAATTAATTTAAATATAGTTAAATTAAAGTTGTACCCCTGTAGCAGGGGTGAACAAAGTCTCAGTATTTGAAATTCACCTGGCTACGGTCGGCGGCGCTGATGAGCAAGCTGTAACAGCGGTAAGAGGTTGAATAAGGTTAAGGATGAGGTTAGAGTGGCAGTTAGTATTAGTCCGCTGCAGCAATATCTTGATGATATTCAAACGTATTTAGCGCTCGTTTCTATGGTAACGATAGAGTAGTTTGATAGCGTACCTGCGAGGCGTTAACGTTCACAGCGTCGACATCAACCCTCACAGCGGAGAGGGGCAGCAGCTCAGACTTGGCCGAGAAGGAGCCGACGATTTCCACATCAGAGTCGTCTGAGCTGAGGGAGATCACATCATCCATTTCTCCTCACTCATTCAGCTTCACACGACACAGAAACTTCAGTAGCTGATGTTTGGTTCTGCTAGCCAGCTCACAAGAGCGTCACCTAAAGCAGGCCCATGATAGTCGCCATAGTCCTAAAGCAACAAGATCTGGCGTTAATGTGTAGTTCCTCATCATGTTCTGCAGAAAACACAAGATAGCTCCTACAGTGATACATATAAGCTCAGGACTTGTAGCATTTCCTTGTTAAGGTCGTCAGCCACATGCGTCTGATGCTGCCGGTAGTTTTGAGTTTGGTTGTATCTTCAGAGTTCACGTGACTCCGTCTGTTATCTACCTTAAAACTCGACTACATCTGAAAAATAAAATCCAGTGATATGATGTCCAGTTGGTTCAACTTTGAAATTTGATGCTTCCTGATTTTGCTGTCATTTTTCTTTTCTGTAGTATGGCGGATCATAACCAGCTATACAGTTGCCAACAACTCCACCTACTGTACTGGAGTGTGAACTCGCAATCTGATGTCATCGTCACCAATGGCACCTATCTTGAACTAAGTGAACCAAGGCTCAGTGCTGGGGAGTAGTGAACTAAAAAAAAATAGAAAAAAATCATAGTAAATGACCAGCTCTGACCACAAATTTAAAGGGTTCTTCTCTTCCCTTGCCCATGCCCCATCCTCTTCCAACTTCGGTGCAAACAGATTCAGTAATTTACTTTTTGTGCTATCCTGCTGACAAATAAACAAACACAGGTGGCAGGGGTGATGAACTCATGCTCAAAGCAATGTAGGCTATAAATTCATACAACACACACTGAATATAATAAGATTTATAATTTTCCACCAAAAATCCATCAAACTGAAATGCAATACATTTCTAATGGAGCAATGATTTAGCGTTTTTCAATCCGTCGCTCTGCAGGATCTGTTCATCGACCAGCAGATGAGGTGGAAGTTGGCTTTGCTTTTATATAACTTATTAATTCATTTCAGGTGTTGTTTTTGCTTCATCTTTTTTCACTGTGACACAATGAAAAACATTACAAGGCTTGATTTAGAATCAGTCTAAAGCTATACTGAGTCTCAGACCTTGACATCCCAGATTGTCATTAATGATACAGACACATTCTGAAGGCCCTTTTTTCACAAGACATACTGATACATCACAGTAGGAAAAGCACCACTGTAAATGAGTAAATTAATGATGATTGAATTCTAGGTGCTTCAGTTTCCTTGAATATAACAGTCATCATTAATATTAATAGTAAAATCTGTGCTTTTCTTACTATGACAAGTCATAATGGCTGCTGTGAAAAGACCCATTAAAAGCACTTTACAGCCCAACAAGCCATATTTTGGAAGGCTGTCAGAAATTGTGACAAATTTATATATTGCCTCAAATTTATTTATACAGTAAATATAGCAACTTTTTAAATTAAAAACAGTCAAACAAGGAGCAGTCATTATGACTAAACATGAAAAATATTAAAAGATGTCCTTAAATGGTCACTATTTTCCAAACATTTTGTTGTTTTTTGTCCTGTTATTTAACAATTCAGTCACAATATCAGTTAAACTCATAACTAAAGTGATAGGACCAAAAAAACAAACAGAAAAAATGCTAATTGTTTTACAGTCACTGTGGTTTCACTGTGTGTGTCACTGGAGTTATTGAATGTGACTGTCATGCAGAACAGGAGATTCACCAGACGACTTCATGTCAACTCAACCAGTTTAAACTTTACCACATGCTTTTCATAATACATTGTATTGACCTAATTGACCACCCTAAATGTTAACGTAAAAACATAAACACCAAAACTCCATATCAAAATTCACTGAGTTTCTGTGACAATATGTAGTCTCACACCTCACCACTGGAGTGCACTCATGTTGTGCAAAAGATTTCAAAATTTGACAAATATGTGTATATACACAGGACGGCCTGTGGCAATCTCACATCTGCGTATTCTTCATAGTAATTTACCCAGAAACTGAGCTGTGAACATAAGTTTTTATCTGGCCTTAATTACCTCCCAATCTTACCTACAATTAACAGTGCACATGCAAAGGGGCTGTTGTATTTTATACCCTTTGCAAAGAGCAGTCTATTGTGTCTCTGTGGTGATATGAAGTGAGACACATCATTCAAACAGACCCTGCAGCACTAATGCTTACTTTGTCTTCCTATAACTTCTCTGATCCTTGGGGATGCATTTCTGATACTCTGTGAGCCCAGTGGGCACGAAACACATAAAAACACAGTGTCATACCAACCCTTGTGATATAGTGATATAAACCCACAGTGTCAGGGCTGAGTAGGCTGCAGGAAAAAAATGTAATGCATTCTGTATTTGTAAGCCATTCACAAATGACACATTGAACCCAATGCTACATCATATTTTACATCTTCATTTCCTGTTATAAGCCCAGGCGAAAGAATGTTTTTGTGGTACATGCCATCACTAAAAGCTGCTTCCTTTTGATGGAGAGCTGTGACGTGTACACACATACTGGTGTGTGGAGTTGATAAGGACACTGTAATTGTGATAAGCACATTATTTAAACTGTAGAAAAAGTGCACAATGAACTGTCATCAGCTTGCAGCCTTGTTTATAATATCAGATCATTTTGTGAACTGCAATATCCCTGCAAAAATGCATGTTTTGTGGGCAGGAAATATTCTAGGAAAAGAGCAAATTTATTCTGTAACTTGTCCGTGTTTTTCAATGAAATGTACATTTTCATACTGAATTCTCATGCAATTGGATGAAAGGAGCTATTAACCTCAGATGCCTCCAACCATTACACCCTATGAGGAAGACAGGGTGAGTCATCATAGTCAGGCATTCACAACCTAGTCCTGCCACCTATTCAGCAATGTTAAAACTTTAATAGGATGGTTATGGAGTGTGTGTGTATACAAGAGGTAAAGGCTATGTGTGTTTAAGTCATACCAATGTCTTTTCAGTCTGGATTTTGGAAAACAGTGTTACCTTCAATACTCAGAGTGTCATGATGCTATGAATTCTGGAGCACATATTTTGCTTCAAATTATTATGAGGGTAATAATGTTCGACACACAACAGTGGTTGATGCCAAATCATTACTGTCAGTCTGTCCACATTGTTGTGTTCAGTGCATTAGTTCTGAGAACACAAATATTACCACAATGTGAAACCTAATTCAGAGGAAAAGGTGGTCCAAGTTCATTTAGACAGAGAGGGAGAGCTATGGAGATGTTTTAAATCCCAGGTGATCCTCCAAACACTCTGCTGCCCATACATGGACATACATTTAGGATGAAATACTTTATCAGCAACAGAGCATGCGGTTTCCTGTCTCAAAAGGTGAACTAAAGCATGTCTGTACTCATTAGTAGTTACTTGCACTGGGAGCTAGTAATGTCTAATATGAGGCCAGCTGGCTTCGGATGAAAATGTTTGAGGAGATCTGTGAGTAGCATTGGACTGAAAATAGAAAACTCTGCAAGTCTTTGTTTTCAAGGCAAGTTGTGAAATCAAAATGCATGATCTGGAATTCATTTGATCAACTTAATGTTGTAATAACTGCCTACTGTTTGTTCATTGCTACAGTCCACATTCATTATACATGTACAGCTACCTTTTCTGAAACAACTTGACAGTAAGTAAAAAAAAAAAAACAACATGTAAAAATGACAATATGGGCATAATGACTTTCTTTAGTGTCTCTTTTTTTTTTTTAGAAGCTACTGCGCAGGGCTAGGAAATATTCCAGCTCATAATCCCCTGTTACATTGTGAATTGTTGTTTTAACGCTTTTGTTTTATGAACCAAAATAGGAGATATATTGTGTTAAATAGTGAGCTTTAGTGGTGCTGAGTGATGGATTTTGCTGTCTTTGTGGTAAGCTAAGCCAAGCATCTGCTGGCTGTATCCTCAGGCTAAAGCCTCTTTTAAACAGACACCCACTATGTTGTCGTTAAGAAGACCCCTCTTTATGCCACCCATTTACACTGAACCAAACAAAGCTGACATAATGCTGCCTTGTGATCTTAGATAGCATGTGTCATTCTGGAATCAGAGGCGTGACGTGTAACACAACAGCATCGGTGTCCTGTCCTGCCACGCTGCCTCTCCATTTTACACAGATGTTGACCCAGCTCTGTAACTATGTCCACTGCTGACATAAGGGTAAACAGCAAGCCCCCCCCCCCCCCCCCCCCCCCATGCACAAAAGCACAACAGGCTGTGCATAATCAGTTTATATTTAATGGATCACCACTAGAATGGTATGGCTCTTTTCATCTAAATTTCAGCCAAAGAACAAAAAAGCAAAAAAATAAAAAAATAAAATGACATGAGTTGAACTATTCCTTTAAATGTATTGTATACTTTCTCATTCACTTTTTTTAAGAGAGAAATTCTCAAGATGTCACTTGACTTCTCTGTGCATCAGTTCATAATTTATTTTACTTTACTAACAGTGTCATATGGTTATGTCCACTTACTACGGACAAAGTGTCTTTCTTCATCAGTTGTCAGAACAGCATGCTCCTCAATTTAAATTCACTGTAACTCCGGAAGTAATTGTATTCTTCAGATCACACCAACAACACAAAAGAAAACAATCTATCTTTTGTTATTTTCCTTTGCTTTAGGCTGTATGAGAAGAGATTTTCGAAGGATAGCAAGGCTAACAAAGACATTTACCTTGGACAGGCAGCTGCTGGGAGGACTTATTATCCATCATGAGTGTTGCAATAAAAACATCACACCACAAAATTTAAAGTTTTGAAAAAAAAAAGTCTTATCGTAAAGTTCCAGGCATTTTATAGAACAGAATCAGTGAATGAATGAGTTCATGGCTAAAGGCATAAATCTCACTCAGCACACAGAGGAGGAAGTATGCTTTTTATCACAGAATGCAAAAAAAAAAGAAGTGATCCACTGTTGGAGAGTCAGGGTTTTTCCTAGAACAGAAGGTACAACAAATATCATTGTTCCACATGTCTGGACAGAAAAAATAGATAAAAGCAACAGAATCATCAGTCAGTATAAGAAACAAGTAGTTTGTTCATCATAGACAAAGCCATTAAAGAGGGGGACCAAGTAAGTCAACTATCTGTGTGTACTGAGGAGCTGACTCTGCAGTTAGTGACAACTGCCTCCATGTCTACCTGCCCCTGCCAGACAGTCCAGCCTCTCTGTGACACTCACAGAGGAGTTAGTCAACACTTTCCACTGCAGTGAGTCAGAAGTCACATCTGCTGTTTTATGACGTGTAGCAGAGAATGAATTATATTTAAACAAAGAACTGGTGAACAAATATCCTCAGGCAGAAAATCCACAGTGTCCAAAATAACATTTTACATGTTTTGAGCAAGCAAACAACATCTTTAATGCCTGGGTACAGGCTGGTTAAAAAAATCTAGTAT